TGTTTTAGTCTGAATAAATGAATGATCAGCTCTTCTTCTTCCAGATGCTGATCGTGTGTCCAGATGTTTGAAATCAGCTTTATTTGATGGAGCGACTGGGCAGAAGCGAAGCTCACGTGTTCGGGCAGATTTATAGACTTCATTAAGACACTGTAAACTTCTCTTCTCTTAATCTCGAGCACATTTTTACACGCTCAGGGCTTTATATGTTCACACCACCTAGTGCCAGAGCTCAGAAAATAAAACCATAAAACCCCTAATGCAGCCGTTTGCGTGTGAAACGACACTTAAATCCAGCGGTTCGACACACAAAGAGAATTTATTTTGACCACCCGGCCTGCAGAGCTGGACCTTATCTGTGAAATTATAATAAGGTTTATTAGTATCAGTAGACTTAAAGGGGTAGTTCACCCAAAAATTACAATCTGCTTATTATTTACTCTCCCTCAACTAGTTTAACACCTTATTAGTTTCTTCTGCTGAACACTGAAGGAGATATTTTGAAGAAAGTGGTAAACCTGTACCCATCCTGCATGATATTGGGGGGAATATTGGCATTGCATTTTGTTTTCATTAGTATATATTGTGATTAGGGTTGTAACAATATACCGGTATGACGGTTTACCACGATTTGAACGTGCACGATTATCATACCATGAACAATTGCATATCAACGGTTTTAACCCTTAAAGACCGAGACAGCCGCCCGCGGCTAAAAATAAGTATTGCTCTTAAATGTTTAATAACTTTTGATCCGCTGATCCGATTCATACAATTCAAAGATTGGCATAAAGAAGAGAATCTCAGCTTTCCAGTGCTGTATCACATAACATTCGCGGACTTTCAGAGGCTCCGGAATCAGTGCGGTTACGTCATCAACATTTGACAACGCTGATTTGACAAAGAAACGCTCGTCACTGTGTCTCCGGACAAATCAGACATGATACATTGATGCATTGTCCCTCCTCCATGCCCAGATTGGTTCAAACTCGCTATATCACAACCAATAAGCATAGGTTTCGCTTTTGTTTGTGGACCAAGCTTTTTGAACAACACGGAATGAGAGATAGTCATACATTTATGCGCGGCTAAATAAAACGCAAAAAAAAAAAGTTTTGCATGAAATAATTCTCATACTAAGTACTTTTGCATGCACAGCAGCACAGAAACATGACAAAACAGTGACACAGCAAAGACGAACTGCTGCTCTTGCTGTTTTCAAAAGACGCAAATGAAGATGCAGCTGTTTGTCTGCATTGCAGACAACCATATCCAAATCCATATCCACAGACAACCATATCCATGCTGGCACATAAAACCTAAGGATGTTCCATATTGAATCTAGTTTCGTTATGTAACTATTTATAGTATAGTAAATATTTATATCTATTTTTTACTGAGGATTTGCACCATGTTTATTTGGACTTTATTTGGACTTTGACACATTATTTATTATTTTCTTATTTTTAATTTGTTCATTGTAAGTGGTGTTGTTTATAGTAACTAAAAATATATTATTTGGAAAAAGTCAAATTTGCTTCACTGTTCTATTATTTTGTAACATTTGTAACATACCGTATACCGCGAAACCGTCAAACCGTGGTATTGTTTTAGACGATTATCATACCGTGAAAAATTCATACCGTTACAACCCTAATTGTGATATGAAATGTACTCTATCAGATGGATTGAACAACTCTTCGTGAAGCAATTGCTATTTCTGATTGGTTGTGGTGATTTATATAGCGGTGCATCCGTTTAAATTATTAAAATAAACTTTTAACTAGATTGTTAGGTGGATAAATATACAAATGAGAGCAAAAATGAGCTCAACCACTGTCTCTGGCAAAGCTGTGAGGAAAAGCAACACACTATTGGCTGCTTTTTTTAAAGGGGAGATGCTACTCTATGCCCACTTCATGTTTAAGTTAAGATCACATCAAAACATTTAATAAATATTGCACATGAATATAGCCCTTTACCGGATTTTGTTTTGTTTTTCCCATCAGGCCTTGCTGTGGTGATGTTCCCGACTCCTCTGTATGCTCCGGCCGGTCGCGGCCGCTTTTCGGAGGTGTATGAACCGGCCGAGGACTCGTTTCTCCTGATGGACGCTCTGGAGAAAGACGCAGATCGGCTGAAGGACAGCAGGTAATTCACTTACCCTTACACGTTTTTTATTTTATACTTTATTTTTTCCATTTTCTAAACGCTTTTCAAATGACAAGAAGACAGAGACTGCATCCCAATTCACCTACTTATTGACCTTAACATACAAGCCATTGGAATCTTTTGGTGTGTGTTTGTTTTCAGGCCATGTGTGTGTCTGGAGGTTGGCAGCGGCTCCGGTGTGATCTCAGCCTTCCTCGCGTCTTTACTCGGCGCTCAGGCCTTATATATGTGAGTACAGAAAATAAACACGCGCGTTTACCTGAAGCTGTGCGATACTGGGAAAATGTGTGACATTGAATCAGAATCCGAAAGAGCTTTATTGCCTGGTATGTTTACACGTACGAGGAGTTTGCATTTGTGACAGACGTTTGATTGGAGACAAGACTAAGACAAATAATAAATTAAAACTACATATATTTATATATATCTTTAATAATTACTATGTAATAGAGTAATATTAGTAGTAATATTACTATGTAATAATGCTGCACAATATAAATCGTTTCATCATTATCGCAATATTGCGAGTCTGCAATGGTCACAACCGCAGGGATCCTCAATGTAGTTGTGGTTATAGTTGACCAGATATTACAGTTAACAACATAGTGGAATCATTTCAGATGTAAGACCTGACTTTAAGAATTTAAGGGCCTACTCACACCTTTCTATCCATTCCATATCCAGGCCCGTTTTCCGGATGGTTTGAGAAGTGTGAGTGCTCCAAATCACTCAGTGTGGTTCACTTAGGCTCAACCCGAAACTGAAAGCGAGACGTGACTTTTAAGGGGCTGTTTCGTATGGATTTATAAATCATTCTTACTGTTCAGTGAACACAAACTGCCGTAGATTATTAAAGACGCAGACCCCTCACTGCACCTTCAGCAGACCTCCTGCAGCACGAAGGCTTTAGATTTGAATTGCGAAATTGATATTTCTTGTGTAATAACGTTTCCTTACAGATACGCTGTTTTTATCAGCTGTTGTTAGTTAATTTAAGGATCATAGGCTATAATAACTAGCTAATAATTGTTAATAATTGTAATAATTTTAAGACCAACTGATTTAAAATGTGAAGTTGCAAACATTTCCACACTGTGAATGAATGAAAACTATGGAATCAGATTAGTCTCAAAAGAAATTCACGCAAAAGACTCGATGTACACATGCGTAGCCAAATTCACGTGCATAAAACCAAATTCACGTGCGTAAAATATTTATTTATATTCACAAAAAAATTCTCACAAGTTTTAAACATTCAAAACTTTTTGTACACTCTTATACATTTGCAAATCGTGTTTTGCATTTGTGAAACGTATTTTATGAAAATGTATTTTTATTTTGTGCACGTGAAATTTTTTTGTGAATATAAATAAATATTTTACGCACGTGAATTTGGTTTTATGCACGTGAATTTGGCTACACATGTGTACATCGTGTCTTTTGCGTGAATTTCTTTGAGACTAATCTGATTCCATAGAAAACCTTGGCCAGATGTTCTGACTCTGTTATTTCGATATCATTTTTTACTTCCGTCATTAGTACTCATTATTTTCAGAGTTTTTGGTTTTGGCAGAATTGTAATTATTTTGGTGCATCACAAAAAAAAAAAAGTTATTTATTTCAGCTCTCTGCGATATGATGATGAAGTGTGTGTGTGTGTGTTTTGCAGCTGTACAGATGTGAATGCGGATGCGGCTCAGTGTTCAATGCAGACGTCTATCCTCAATAACCTGCATGTGCAGCCTGTCGTCACTGACCTGGTCAGATATTATCACACATGTCATTCTCTTACTAGTATATAATACGCAAACGTCTTGAGGCCTATCCAAGTTTTAGGTACAACTAATAATAACCTGACTTCTAGTTGATGATTTGGCATCAGAAGTGTCATATATGAAAGGTGAAGGCCTCTAGATTCTGCTTATTTGAGCTCAATAAAATCTGATCATGTCTTGATTTTGACTGATTTGATGAGGACAGTGCGGTCTCACTCTGCTCAGACTAAAGTCTCATCACTGAACAGAAATAATGTCCAGTATAGAATATAAAGTCCTGCTGCAGTGGAGACAGAATGAATATTGTGTCTGACTCCATCATGAGCTTGGAGGACTGCATCCATACATCTCTGACATGATCACATCACTGATTAATAAAGTCATCTGGAATGAAGAAGAAAACCTTCAGCAGGACTCCCAGAGTTCATCAAGAGTCTTTGTGTTTATCTTCAGTGCCTCCTTCTTCATCTTACCCCAGACATGCTTAATATTGTTTAGGTCTGGTGACTGGGCTGGCCAATCCTGTAGCAGTTTGACCTTCTTTGCTTTCAGGAGCTTTGATGTGGAGGCTGAAGTATGAGCAGGAGCGCTATCCTGCTGGAGAATTGTCCCTCTCCTGTGGTTTGTAATGTAATGGGCAGCACAGATGTCTTGAAACCTCAGGCTATTGATGCTGCAGATCTCTCGCACGCCCCCATACTGAATGAACCCTAAACCATCATTTCTTCTACACCAAACTTGACTGATTTCTGTGAGAATCTTGGCTCCATGCTGGTTCCAGTAGGTCTTCTGCAGTACTGTGAAAACCGCACTTCTACATCACAGTGGGCCTCAAAATCACAGATTTGGATCCTATTTTGAAGTCAGAAAATATAAACAAAAAGAGACTTTCTTTGTTTCTGTCACTCCATTATGACTGTGGACACTATACTGCACACACTTCTGTCCAAACAGCTTAGAAAAGTGGATTTTGCATCATAGGAGCTCTTTAATACTGTGAAGGATTTTTAGAAATCAAAATTAGTGTAAACAGGCCTTAAGCCCCGCCTCCTCAGCTGTCAATCATCCTTTGCACACACACAGTGTTTCTCCATAGATGATAAATAGATAGATAAGAGAACATGTTTGTTTTAATCTCATATTTCAGTGTTTGTGTGCTCCTCCTGTCGTCTGTGCTCCTTCAGTTCTGTTTCTTGATTTATGTCTGTGGTTTCAGGTCGAGTGTCTTCTGCCCAGGTTGAATGGAAAAGTGGATGTGCTTGTTTTCAATCCGCCGTATGTGGTCACGCCGTCAGAAGAGGTAAACCAGTGCAAACACTCTCCTTTTCACTTCATGTGCTTAACTACTAATACACTAAATAAAAATGTGCAGACACACTGAAAAAGAACACAAAAATACCAGTTTTAGACTCTACAGTAGCACTGATTTAACATCAGGAACTCATTTATTTTGAACATGTCTTGTGTTCTGGGTTAAGTCTGAATTCTTCTTGTTGATCAGTGATTTATATTAAATATAGAAATATTTTAGTTCTGGCTCTAGTCAGTTTGTTAATTTTGTTTTGTTAATTATCTATACGTAGTCACATGGGTGATTGAATATGTGTGTGTGTTTGTTTATATAGGTGTGTGCTTTTGTACATGTGTGTTTCTGTATGTGTGTGTTTCTGTTTGTATGAGTGTGTTTCTGTTTGTTTTTGTGTGTGTGTTTGTTTGTATAGGTGTGTGTTTTTGTACATGTGTGTTTTTGTATGTGCGTGTTTCTGTTTGTATGAGTGTGTTTCGTGTTTCTGTTTGTTTGTGTGTGTGTGTGTGTTTGTTTGTTTGTATAGGTGTGTGTTTTTGCACATGTGTGTTTTTGTATGTGCGTGTTTCTGTTTGTATGAGTGTGTTTCTGTTTGTTTGTGTGTGTGTGTGTGTGTGTTTGTTTGTTTGTATAGGTGTGTGTTTTTGTACATCTGTGTTTTTGTATGTGCGTGTTTCTGTTTGTTTATGTGTGTGTGTGTGTGTGTGTGTGTGTTTGTTTGTATAGGTGTGTGTTTTTGTATGTGAGTGTTTCTGTTTGTGTGAGTGTGTGTGTTTTTGTACATGTGTGTGTTTCTGTTTGTATGAGTGTGTGTGTGTGTTTGTTTGTTTGTATAGGTGTGTGTTTTTGCACATGTGTGTTTTTGTATGTGCGTGTTTCTGTTTGTATGAGTGTGTTTCTGTTTGTTTGTGTGTGTGTGTGTGTGTGTGTGTTTGTTTGTTTGTATAGGTGTGTGTTTTTGTACATCTGTGTTTTTGTATGTGCGTGTTTCTGTTTGTTTATGTGTGTGTGTGTGTGTGTGTGTGTGTGTGTGTGTGTGTGTGTGTGTGTGTGTGTTTGTTTGTATAGGTGTGTGTTTTTGTATGTGAGTGTTTCTGTTTGTGTGAGTGTGTGTGTTTTTGTACATGTGTGTGTTTCTGTTTGTATGAGTGTGTATCTGTGTATGTGTATTCTTTATCGTGTGTGTGTGTGTGTGTGTGTGTGTGTGTGTGTCTGTTTGCATGTATTTCTGCATGTGTTTTTGTATGAATTTGTGTGTGCATGAATAAAAATGTGTGTGTTTGTATGTACGTATCTGTAATTGTATGTTTTTTGGTGTGTGTGTGTTTCTGTTTATGTGTGTGTTTGTAAAAATTTGTGTATGTATATAAGTATGTGTTTGTTATTGTATGTGTGTTTTTGTATGAATTTGTGTGTAATTTCTATGTGTATGTATGTTTATTTTTTTGTGTGTGCCTTCTTATGCTTGATTGTGTTTTTGTATGTTCATCTGTGTGTGCGTGTTTGTTTTTTTCAGTATGTATATTTATTTGTATGTGCATGTATTTGTGTTTGTGTATATTTGTATGTATACAAATATGTGTGTGTGTATGTATGTATATATATATATTTATATATATGTGTGTGTGTGTGTGTGTGTGTGTGTGTGTGTGTGTGTGTGTGTGTGTGTGTATATATATATATATATATATATATATATATATATATATATATATATATATATATATATATATGTATATGTATAAATATATATATGTATATGTATAAATATATATATGTGTGTGTGTGTTCAGGTGGGCAGTCATGGTGTGGAGGCGTCGTGGGCCGGTGGTCTCCACGGTCGAGAAGTGATGAACCGCTTTTTCCCCATGATTCCTGATCTGATGTCTGAGCATGGGCTGTTTTACCTGGTCACCGTGTCTGATAATGATCCCGGTGAGGAGTGTGGAGCATTCTTCAAAGTATCTTCATCTGTGTTCAGATATTAACAGAAAGGCCGGAGTATACAGTCACTGCAACTGCTAATGACATTAAAACATCAATAATTCTGTGTTTTCCAGAGGGGATTGTGGATCTGCTGGCTCGCTCTGGTCTGGATGGACACGTGTGTTTGACTCGTCAGGCCGGACGAGAGACGCTCACCATCCTCAGATTCAGTAAAACAGCGGAAAAAACACAGATTCATTAAAAACGAAGACTTTTCTGTCTCTTAAGTCTGCAGATTATGAAAACACATGATTCCTGGACACTCCTCAGACTGTGATAAACATCGTCTTCTGTGTGTTTTCTCATGAACACTCTTGACTGTGTTTTTGAGCCATCTATTGACTCACTGAACTCAGTTACCCAGAATCCCACTCTCATCCCTCAAACGAGCTGTTTTTGAAAGGGCAGTACTGCAATGTCGACTTTCATCATTTCAGACTCCTTTTTTCCCCCAAGAATTCTACAGAATATCTTGTTTGTTTGTTTTTTTTTACAACAAGAAATAAAATCATCAAAGTTTATAACCACGTGAGTGTGAGTAAATGAAGGCATTTTTATTTTTTGTGTGAACTGGCCCTTTAAGACATGTGTTCTCCTGCTAAATTATAGGTTATGCAAATTAAAAGTGTGTACTTAATTAACATTAAGAAAAAGAAATAAAAAAATACACATTGTATGTTTTTTTAATGTTTAAAATGATTAAATTATTCCATTTTATTTTCTTGTCGGCTTAGTCCCTTTATTAATCCGGGGTCGCCACAGCGGAATGAACCGCCAACTTATCCAGCAAGTTTTTACGCAGCGGATGCCCTTCCAGCCGCAACCTATCTCTAGGACACACACACACACTACGGACAATTTAGCCTACCCAATTCACCTGTACCGCATGACATGTGTTTGGACTGTGGGGGAAACCAGAGCACCCGGAGGAAACCCACACGAAGGCAGGGAGAACATGCAAACTCCACACAGAAATGCCAACTGAGCCGAGGTTCAAACCAGCGACCTTCTTGCTGTGAGGTGACAGCACTACCTACTGCGCCACTGCCTCGTCTTGATTAAATTATTATATTTTTAAAATAAATAAACTAATATTTCATTCATTTTTCCTTCAGCTTAGTCCCCTTATTCATCAGAGGCCGCCACAACGGAATGAACCACCAATTTTATCCAGCACATGTTTTACATACCCTTTCTAGCTACATCACAGTACTGGAAAACACCTATACCCTCCTACTCTATGGCTAGTTTTAGTTCATCAATTCCCCTATAGCGGATAAGTTTAGACTGTGAGGAAAACCGGAGCACCCGGACGAAACCCACGCCAACACAGGGAGAGCATGCAAACTCCACACAGAAACACCAACTGACTCAGCTGGGAATCAGCCAGAGACACGATGCGAACATGCAAAGCTTGAAATTCCCAAATATAGATGGAAAAATAATATTTATTTTGAAATATTTAATTTATTTTAGCTGTTAAATATACAAAAAATATTTATATAAATATTTAAAATATACTAAAATATCAAACTAATACTGAATTGTGATTCTGACGAAAAACTTGTGGTTTGAATTATTGTGCCAAAAATTAAGGTTAACAAGTGGTTTGGTAAAAATTATGATTATTAAAGTCTTAATATTACAGCAGGGGTGACGCAGTAGGAAGTGCTGTGGTCTCACAGCAAGAACAAAACAAGCTGGATCGAGCCTCGGCTGGGTCAGTTGGAATTTCTGTGGGAGTTTGCATGTTCTCCCTGTTTTGGTGTGGGGTTTTTTTGTCCAAAAACATGCGGTACAGGTGAATTGGGTAGGTTAAATTGTCCGTTGTGTATATATATGAGTGTGTGTGGATGTTTTCTAGAAAGGAGTTGCTGCATAAAATGTGCTGGACAAGTTGGCGGTTCATTCTGCTGTGGAGACCCCGGAATAATAAAGGGACTAAAAGAAAATTATTATTACAGCAAATTATTTTTTTCAAATAATATGGAGAAAGATTTTATACATGACCAGTAAAATAAATCTGTAGCACAATAAGGGTGAATTAATGGATTTACTAACATGAACAAACTATGAACAATACATTACAGCATTAATTCACATTTGCTAATGAAAATAGTTGTATATGTTACCTCAAACTTAATCTTAATAATGCTAAAGTATTAAAAAAAAAGATGCACAAGTATTGTTGAAGTATTGTTCATGTTAGTAAACACCAACTAAAATTAACTAATCAAACGTAATAGTAAAGCGTGACTAAAACAAATCATACCCATGAATATTCCACTGAAGATTTCTATCATCACATATCCAAAAAAAAAAAAAAAGTATGCTTAATCAATGACCCTCACTTGCCTTAGGATAAAAAGTGAATCTAGCGTCAGAAAAAAAAAGTGGAGAGTGGATAGCATGAGACTGATTCCTGAAAGACCCCAGTGACAGACGAGTCTCTGTATTGATCCCGTGGGTCAGCCTGAACACCTGCTGGTGACCTTCTCACTCCTGCAGCTTCTCCACGACGGACATCCAGCGCTCTAGTCTACAGCTGTGCACAAGAGGTTTGGCGAGATGAGGAAGCTGCTGTGACACAATCTACACTAAAATTGCTCAAGACGAATTGAATACAAACACTAATACAGCAGTGCAAGTTTAATGCCAACAGTAAACACAGACCTACATCAGCACATGCAGAGTTCACCAAATGCATCACCAATACTCCTCAAGCATCATTAACAGTTTCCAGAAATCAAGCTTTTCTCCTGAAATGAAAAATCAGCCTCTGAGAAGCTCCAGTTTTACTCATTTCATAAATGTTGGTTTGTTTTTTTTTGCAGCTGTACTCTTCAACACACATCTAAAACACTACGAATGCCGTTATCTGCCAACAAACTCTAGACGAGCAGTAGTGGGACTCTACATGTTCAGGAATGTCTGGATCTGGAATGTTCTATTGATTACAGTATTGATCTGAGGTTAGGAATGAGTGTTATTGTGTTGATGACAGTATTGACTATGGAATGGTATTGATCTGAGGGTTAGTGTGTCTCTCTGGTGCTCCACACGATGTGTCCGTCGTCTCGGAGCTTCACCGCTCCACTGGACACCAGCTCCAAGGCTGCTGGGAACGCCCGATGCTCCGCCTCTCTGATGCGCTCTGATAGGCTCTCCTCGCTGTCAGTCACCAGCACAGGAACCGCCTCCTGGACCACAATGGCTCCGGCGTCCACATCCTCCTGTCAATCCAACACACACACACACACACACACACACACACACTCTAGCAGTCAGTGTTATTTATATTTCATAATTATAATTCCGACTTATAAAACTCGCAATCTTTGAGGGGGTAAAAAAAACTAGTGAGATGTAACCATCTGAGAAAAACACTATATAAATTTACAGCAAATTCTGGTGCTTTTGGATGACAGAATAGTAAAGTGTAGTATACAGTGTATATTAAAATATTTATAACTTTCATTTGTTAATGAATGCTCCAACATACTATAGTATACTTTAGTTTTTACTACAGTAAACTGTGGTGTATTGTGGTATAAGAAACCATATTGTTGTAGAAAACTGCAGTGTTAGTTCATTTGTTTATATTACTATAGTTGTTGTGTTACCATAGCAACTGTAGAGTCACCACAATAAATTAATTGCAGTAGTTGTTGTGTTACCATAGCAACTACAGAACCACTACAACAGATCAATTACTAAAGCTGTTGTGTTACCATAGCAACTCTAGAATTACAACAACAGAGTTTTTAATATAGCTATTGTTACCATAGCAACTATAGAATTACCGCACAACAGATGCTATAGCTATATCATAGCTACTGTAGAATCACCTCAACAGATTCAAGTACTTGACTATAGTATATTTCAAAAACATTGCAATATTTATTATGCATTACTATAGCATTCTTTCATATTTCATGTGGGTAAAGATGCATTTAAAATGATATCTGTGAGAATAAAATAGTACATTTACCAT